TTTTTTTTTTTTTTTTTTTTTTTTTTTTTTTGCTGTTTTAACGGTAGATTTATTAACAGTTACAGACAAATATAGATTGTTTTGTATCTTTGTCTTTTATGAAATTTGTGCGGTGGCGTGGGAGTTTTCGTATTAATTTATTGGTTTTGTGGCAGGTGCTGCAAATTTTGATCAAAATTTTGGCTTTTTTATGGATGTGATTTTATACTTTGAATTAGAATCGAAATGTATGCATAGATTTGTGTTGCGCAATATTTCAAAACTTCATTCAAGCTAAACTGATTTGTCCTGATTTGTGACATGCAGATGCTCCTCGTCTATTTAGCATTTGACACCACATAGTTTATCGTATATCAGTCAGATAACGGCTGTTGGTTTTGCACGCAGTTGTTAAATCTTATTTTGAAGATTGTCATCAGGATCATTAATGAGTATATATTATTGATAATGAGATATTTGCAATAATAAGCTTTCTAGAGCAGTCCAAGAGCTTCTTTTGTTCCTTTTCCACGTTTTGCATTTTTTCTTCCAAATACTGGTTGAAATAGCTGGAAAAAAGATTTTACTTTAAAACTGGAGGCTGCTATGGAAACAGCTGTAAATTTGTACAAACTCTTCAACCGTGTTTTTTTTGAAATCGTTGTTGTTAACGCGGTTTGTCACATTAATATTTAGAAGGAAAAAAAAATAAATAAAATGAAATAAAAAACTTGAAAAAATAAAGGCTTCAATACTAGTTGAAAAACGGTGAAGAGAAGTGGGAAGGGAATTTATATTTGCTAGACTGATTAAATGACTTCAAAGATCGTTCAAAATTTTTGAACTAGATGATTTCTCCTACCTCTAATATTACAGGAATTAATTGTTGTTTGCTGTAATTTTTTGGTGGGAATAGTTTTTAAGATTTTTTATTTTTTATTGAATTTCAGCCTCCAGCTAAAGTTGAGGATGTGGGAGAGCTGGAAAGAATGAACCGGTTATCTGCTTTGAATTTTGACGACGACCTACAGATGCGTTTTGCCGAAGACTATCGAACACTCATTGCAGAGTCTCGAGCAAGCCTTCGCAGTGCAAACACCCTTTTGAATCATCAGCCATCACGACAGTCACTTGTAAGTAGTTCTTTTTTACTTTAAATTAAAGTTTTATAATTAAAGGGTGGAACCGCTACGGGGCAAATATGCGTTTTTTTTACAAATTTTAAACATTTATTGTTTAGAGTGAGGTGCAGATTGCACGTTGGTTAATCTCGGTATATGCTTAGCCATGTTTTTTAAAATCAATTCTGTAAATTTCATGTTTGTTTGTATTCTTATCCATATTTTCCTTGTTATTTTTAATGCATGTAGCTTAAATTGTTATTGTTTCTTTTTAAATGCAGGGTTGTGATGTATTATTTGCAGTTAATTTTTACTTGGACTGGCGCCGTTTGCCTACTAATTGCATCTTTTGAGTAATGAATAATTTTACATGATTAACTTTTAGGAGGATCTGCGAACAATGGCGAACGCACAGGCGGAACGGCTTTCTACTGTAGCCACTAACTCACGAAAGCTTATTGTAAGTTGAGAATGCAGAAGTAGAATTGTATGTTGATAAATATTTCTAATTAGTCGTAAAGATGTTGATGTTGACATTTAAACACAAATCGTCTTTCTCTTTAACTTTTTTATTTTTATCAAAGTCAATTTATTATCTTTTCTTCTTTGCAGTCTTAGTATTTTAATCTTGTAAAGGTAAATATGTTGCTAAAATTGATTTGTGGCTGTATAAAGAAGATTAGCCGAGTTTTCTTAGCGTTGCTGAAGTTTTATAAATTTTCCTTCTTTGGCTTTCTAGCACTATTTATGAAAGAGAATTTTGAAGGATAATACTGGCGACTTTGATGAAGTCTATCAAGGTTGGAAAAAAGTATTGGCTACCATTGACTCTCTTACTAATTCGCCTTATGAGTCTTCCACTAATGGAGCTTTGCCTATAATTCTGTCAAAGATCGAAAAATTTGCGCTATCTCTAAAAGATTTACAAGAAAGCGATGAGTGCTGTAAACCATCAATGTGTTCCATTTCTTCAATCAACTCATTGGATGACGTTGAAAAAACCTTAAAGGTTTTTGGGGTACGTAGTTTTCCGGGTTTGAACTGGTTGTATCACTTATTGTAGTTGTCACTTTGGTGCAGTTCCTACTTTTTAAAAAAAACATTTTTATTTTTATTGCAAATGAGTTTTTTTTTAATTAGTCGACGAGTTTGAATTATTTTCTTTTCTTCAGGAAATTCGTGAGAGATTGGTTTCTGAAAAAGAAGAGCTGCATTCGCTGCTTCATTCAGTTAATTTTTCTGGTGACTTAGTGGAAATAATGGAAGAGTTTGAACCGCTGTCTGCGCAGTATGAGGATGCAATATTAAAAGTTGAACAGTTAGTGCAACAAGTGGAGAAAGTTAAGCGAAATTGGAGCGATTGGGCAGAAATCAAACGTAACTTGCAGAACATCATCGTTGATGTTGAAAATGAATTGGTTGCTATGAGGAAAGGCAGTAACAACTGCAATGTGAGTAACATTCTAACATCTTCAGTCTTGTAATTTCTTGAA